GCTGAAGTACTTGGGAAAACAGCAGCAGATGGTCCGAGTCTGTTCACATTCTGCCAATAATCAAAGTAACCAAAGAACTACCCTCTCTTTAGAACAGGTACACAATTACTGTGGCTGGCCCCTGCCACCTACATAGGAAACCAGAATGATGTTCTTGGCTCCTGGCTGTAGCCTGGTCCAGACCCAAATGTTACAGTTATTTTGGTGAGTGATGTTAGAGGCATTTTGGGCGAGTGAACTAGCAGATAGAAGATCCTTCTCTTTGTCCCTTTCTCTGTCTGTCTGTCTCTTTGGTTCTACTTTTCAAATAAAATAGGTCTTAAAATAAATCACAAAATCAATAGGCAGAAGCCCCAAATGGGAACTTTGTAGCAAGCTAGTGGAGACAAGGAGATAGACCTGTCATCACATTGTCTCGTTCCTATTGTGTGGAATCCCTCCCAAGCAGCAGGTGCCAACACCAGGTTAGAGAGGTGTTGCTTTTTGCAAGCTGTGAGTAGCATTGGGCTTCATTTACCTTTATCCTGCAAGTTGTTATGCACCACTAGTGAACACTGATTGTTCTGCCAGAATACAGTGAGCAGCCGACAAGATGCCTTTTCACAGCTGATCCAGGTAGCCTCAAATTTAAACTTGAGCTCAAAGAAGTGATCCAGGTGGGTAGCTTGCAGGTGGCTCACAGCAGAGACTGGCCAGGAGACAGCACACTTTGCTGTGTTAGGAATGATCAGGGCAGGCACTGCAGAAAAGGCAACATCTCTGTTCAGCTTTCAGAGACGGAACAAATCAGGCATGCAAATGAGTGCTGGGATGAACTTGATGCATTACAGGAGGAGGAGGACAAATGTTAGCACAGCTGAGGTAGAGTGAGTGAGTGAATCGGTCATCTTGGAGACAGAAAGATGGGTGACAAGTCGCGGAGGACCTAAGGGTCTACCCAAGGACTTTGCATTCTGCCAATAATCAAAGTAACCACAGAACCACCCTCTTTAGAGCAAGTGCACAATTATTGCTCATCTTTGGCAACCTTGGCCTTCCTGCTTGTGCCCTGCATGCCAGTAGACCCTGGAGGAACAGCTAAGTTAATGAATCAGAAGAAAGACATTTGTCCTTCCTGGAGTGAGCAAGTGGTCCCTCCAGTGCTGGCCACACATCCTCCAGAGGAATCGCTTTCCTTTAGGGGCACGCTGAGAGTAGAGACCAGGCTGGAGCAGCAGGCCCTTCAGCCCTTCCAAGGGCACAGTTCCCTTTTGTGAGGATGGCTGAGATTCCAGGATGGAGAGGCTTAACCTGAGAGAGCAGCATGTTCTCATTGGCAGCACGGAAGCCGCTGTCATTGTTGTCTTACCTCCTCATAGAAGTTGAAATTTGTTCCCACACATTCCACTGTGAGGCTTATAAAAGAATAAAGAATGGGTCCAGGAAAACTCCATGGTTGCAACTGTACTATGTTTGCTTGTGCTGACCCTGATTCTGCTCCAGAGCTTGGGAGGAAAGCCCTAGGGAGATGCTGGTGCCCACCTATAATAGCTGTCATTTCAAGATAACGATTTGGAAGATTCTTTCTTCCTTCTTTACTGGAGTTCACTGCTCCAAGCCCTCATTCATCATCAAGGGGCAATATCCTCTCCTTTCTGCCTTCCAGCAGGGAGGCTCTGGAAGTGATTAACTGCCTGTAAATCAGCTTTTATGATTTGTATGTCAGAGATAAGCAGCAGGGAAAGCAGTTGTTGGAGGATCCGCAGCCTGCACCCTGATGATTATCTGAATAATGAAATTTTTAAAAGAAATGTTGGACTATATATGGTATTTGGCATAAGACTTTCTCCTAAGACATATCCAATGTTAGCATTTGGCTCTTTAACAAGCATTGCTTTATATTTACATCATCGACAGAGGTATCATTCAGATAAAACCAAATGAATATTTAAAGGTACACCTCAGTGAGTGTTTAGGCATGTGAGTCCTCTTACAACCATCATCCAGATGTGGAACAATCCCAGTGTCCTGGACACTTCCTTCATTCTTCTCCCCCAAGTAGTTTGACCTCTGTCACTATAGACAGTGTTCATCTGTTCTTGAACTTCATGTAAATACAGTCGTACAACACATACTCTTTTTTTGTCTCTGCATGTTCTATGAGATGTTTTCATGTTGTTTGGCTCTAGCTATACATTCTCATTATTGTGTGGTATCCCATTGTCTCAGGGTTTGTCAACAGTGGCACTGTCAGCAGTTGGGGTTGGATAAATCCTTTGGGATGCGGACTGCCCCGTGTATTACAAGGTGTTTACAAGTGTCTGTGACTTCTACCTGTTAGATGGCAGTAGTACCTGCTCCCATTCTGTCTCCAGGTATTTCCAAGTTTCTCTTAGAATTGAAAAGGCTTTAAAAATGCTTTATTTGGAAGTAATTTCAAATGTATTAAAAAGAGGGGAAAAAAAAGAACACACAATGCCTAGCCATATATTCTAAGCTTCAGTTCAACTCTTTGAGTTAATATTGTATCCCTTTTGATTCTCTGGTGTTCACACACAGTCTCCTGATTTGTTTCTGAACAATTTGAGACCATTTGCATTCATCTTGGCCATTTACCACCATTGCCTCCCATGTGTATTTCCCAAGAAGAATATTCTCCGACCTGACCACAGTTAGCCTCAATAAACTAGTAGAATGCATTTATCTGTTGCCTGTGTTCCACATTTTTCTTGATCAAAAATTGTTCTTGATAGCAATTTTCCTGTGCAAAGCAGGTTCCTGTCCAGGATTAAGTACTGTATGTGATTGCCAAGTTTCCTTAGTAGCCTTTAATCTAGAACATTCCCTCAACCTTTTTTCTTAAGTGTCTCTTACGATACTGACTTTTAAGACAGATTAGACCCTTTTTTAAACAGAGCGTTCCTTCTTGGAGAATTTTCCCAGTATTTCTTCCTGAATCTGCACTTCTGGCTGGAAGGCAGCTGTCTTCCTTTAGTCATCCCACACAGAAGTACATGAGGTCCAGTTGTGTCTCTGGACAGGTTAAATTTGTTCCCCATGTGAAGTTGTCTGATTTCACAATTGTTAGTCACTAATTCTTGCCTTATAACTAATAGCCAAAATGTAGAGGAAACCCTTTGAGACCATGGTTTCAGTACTTCGCACTCAAATTTAGCTTACTTTCCCATTCGTTTCTTTCATGTGGCACATTAACCCATGGTTCCAAAAGGATTTCCCAAACTGAGTTCGCTGTTCCTCCAAGAGCGCTCACTCTGCGGGCAGTGGTCAGCAGAGCCTGCCATTTTCCCTTTCCCCAGTTATGTATACATTGAGGTCTTTCTATATTTTCAGCATACACTCAAATTTTCTTATTTGTTTCAGTGGTTACTGAGATTATTCAGATCGGGCCCTGTATATTTGGCCCCTGGTTGTAATAACAATCCCCAACATGTCTTATTTTTCATGCTTCCTTACTTTCTGGAATAGTCCAACTTCATTTCTTCTTTCCTTTTCTATATCTTAGAATTGGTCATTTCTCAAAAAAATTTTTTAAAAAAGCTTTCTTTTAGTGGAGAATATTTAAAAAACAAAACATTTATTTTTCCATTTCTCAGTTGATGGACATATGGATTGTTTCCAAGTCTAAGATAGTATAGGAGAAGAAAACTTCCCTCACCCTCACCCATCTTGGGACCCATGCATTCCCTTCTGTTGGTTTATAACCAAGAGAGGTAATAAAAATCAGGGACTCTCCACTCTTGGTTATAAATGCAAATAAATGAGTGTATGAGTTTACACATGCATATTTGGGCAAGGATGGTCAAAGTAGCTTTATTCATGATTCCCGTATGTGTTGGTATAGGTATATTTTGTTTAATATTGCCAAGTTGTTTTCTAAAGTGCTGACAACATTGCTTTGGTTTTGTCAAACGAGAACTCTTAGGCCCAGTAGGAGGCCAGACTAATCAGTGGCCAGGGTGATAATGGACCATTGCGATCCAAAGACTTGTTGTCTGTGAGTGGAAATGGCAAGATTACTGATCATTTTGATGTCTAATGAGTGGGAAATTCTGAGACTTGGCCACCTGGCCCATTCTTAAGCATCTCCTTACAGAGTGCTACTCGGAGATGAGCAAGTGGAAGTCACACAAGTCAATACCTCCCACAGTCTGCCAATGGCTTTTATCTCAGGGAGGCCAGTAGCTCTTTTGAGTGCACTTAGGAGATGGAAGTCCATTGCTTGGAGCACCTGCTGTTAGAGAGTGATTAGGATCACTCTTAGTTTCGAAATGCTTTCCCCCCCAAGACAGCAGAATGTCCCAGGATTCCTGGCACACCCTCCCCCCCACACACACACACACCCTCTGGCCTCCATGGAGTCTGTGAAAGCCTGGAGCATTCATCCACTAAACTGCTGAGAGAGTAAATACCCTCTTATCTCTGCCTAGGGGATCCAAAGCATTCTAGATAGAGGCCCACCTATCACACAGGGACAACCACAGGATGTGTAGCAGCTTAACAAAGGAGACAGTCCAGCATCATGGGACTAGATTCACCGCTGTCTGGGACAGCTTGGTCCTGGCCCAGGTTCTGTTATCTTAAGTGTCCTCATCCAAACTGTCCTACACAGCTTACAGTACGTCCTGAGAATCAGAAAGATCGTTGAGCTCATTGCTAAAGTGATTTTCTCAATGCAGGGAAGCATTCTGCACAAGGTCCACAGTGGCTGCCTAGTAACGTGAAATGAGAAAGTAGCAAAGTGTGTCTCTGTAGAGTTCGCTCTGGGTAGGATGCTGCCGCTCTGTGCAGAAGAAAACACCCCTCCCACACGATCCCTTGGAGAGCATCTGTGCAGTGCTCAGCCTTACAACTGCATGTCACGACCCTGGAGGCCTGACCAACAGTGGCAGTGGCATCCCCGCTCTTCCAGACATACACACACAGACACACACACTCCACCAGCACTGCTTGAACTTGCGCATTAACTGCTATGGTCCTTTCCTCTCTCCCCCACCCTCCAGGCCTCTCAGCTGATGGTGGTGCCAAGCGCCAGGAGCATCTGTCTCGCTTTTCCATGCCTGACCTCAGCAAAGACTCTGGTATGAACGTCTCCGAGAAGCTGAGCAACATGGGCACCCTGAACTCGTCCATGCAGTTCCGCAGCGCCGAGTCCGTGCGCAGCCTGCTCTCTGCACAGCAGTACCAGGAGATGGAGGGAAATCTCCACCAGCTGGGCAACCCCATTGGCTACAGAGACCTGCAGGCTCACGGAAGGATGCATCAGAGCTTTGATTTTGACGACGGGATGGCAGGTAGCAAGGGGCAGGGCCAGGAGGGTGTGAGGATCCAGCCCATGAGTGAGCGCACACGTAGACGAAGTACCGCGCGGGATGACGGCCGCCGCTTCCGACCGCACCGGTCCCGGCGCTCTCGGCGCTCACGCTCGGACAACGCCTTGCACCTGGCCAGCGAGCGCGATGCCATCTCTCGCTTAAAAGAAAGGCCCCCACTGAGAGCCAGGGAGGACTATGACCAATTCGTGCGCCAGCGCAGCTTCCAGGAGAGCCTGGGCCACGGGTCCCGCAGGGACCTGTACGGCCAGTGCCCGAGGACTGTGTCAGACCTGGCTTTGCAGAATGCCTTTGGCGAGCGCTGGGGACCCTACTTCACCGAGTACGACTGGTGCTCCACCTGCTCCTCCTCTTCCGAGTCTGACAACGAAGGTTATTTCTTAGGAGAGCCCATTCCACAGCCCGCCCGCCTGCGATACGTCACAAGCGATGAGTTGCTGCACAAGTACAGCTCCTATGGGGGCCCCAAATCGTCCACATTAGGTGGCAGGGGACAGTTGCATAGCAGGAAAAGACAAAAGAGCAAAAACTGTATCATTTCTTAATGTGATCCAAGTCAGGGAGTAGGGCAAGATGAAAGCTGAGAATGTACATTCAGAAACTTGCACTGTTTTCCATCTCCAAGCGCTTTTGGGTGGGGGAGAAGGGTGTGCGGGCAAGGAGAGGGGACATGACGGAGGCCGATTGCAGCTGGACTCAATAGGTAGTCAGTCACAGTTTTTGGCATGTTGAATCTTATTTGCACATTTCACTTTGGAAACACAGTAGACCATGGAGGCCAGGGTCGGTCACCCTGCCCTTCTCACCTGTCCTGGGTTGAGTTGCCACCGGCCAGCCTGGCAAATTGTTTCCTGCTTGTTTTTATCTTCTATTGTTCTTCCTTTCAAGACCTTTTTTTTTTTTTTTTGGTTTGTTTGTTTTGTTTTTTGGCCTTTCTCTAGTAAGTAATTTGTTTATTAGCCAAGACCCAAGACTTAAGTTATTTACATGTCCATTGTAAATGCAATGTAAATGAGAGTTCTGATAAAATATTTTTGTATTTTGTAATATCAAAGGAATTTCTATATCGTAGGACTCAGTGGGGACTTGCATGCAAATCTGACATTGTCTTTGAGTAGTAATTGAAAGGTGGCTGAATCCACCTGAGTTTTTCGTTTTAGTTTTTGTTTTTTTTTTTTTCTATACAGATTTGTTATATGTCCGTGAGACTTTTTCAAAGGAGTATATTCAATTCGGGGTTTTTTTTGTGGCTGGAAAAAACAAACAAACAACTATTATACCCAAGACATTTTATGTTCCATGCCATGTTAGGGAGCCCTCCTTAAGATCGCTCCCACCCTCAGTAGGATTTTTTTTCTCTACAAAGTGATAGTACTTCTTTCTCGATTGCAAATGTAACTTTTGCCAATTAGAGAGACCAATCAGTGTCAGTCAAGTTCCGTGAGAAAGGCCATCCCTGCTGGGAACCTTGAAGTTGCTTACTCTTGCTCTGTCCCTTGGGGAAGACACAAGTGACTGTGAGTGGTGCTGTTGTGTGTGATGTTAGCATGACGTTGTTTTGAATGTGGCATTCTTTTCTGGTGCTCATGTTTCCTGGATTGTGTTATCCGCTTTCCTTTACCAAGGCAGACAGAACTGCCACCTGCACCTGACAACCGATTGTCCTCAAAGCAAATGAACTGAAGCATTTGGAATTGAAGGATGACAGAGAGTTCTGACGGGGTCCCGAGAGTCCCAGTGTGTTGCAGGTTATGTGTGGAAAAAGGAGTAAGGCAATTAGCAATAGATAGCAGGTCAAGGGTAGACACAGAAAGCGACCCCAAAGAAAGATCAGGGAGGAAGAATTTCTAGAAATAGAGGAGAGGTGACAACCCCTTGCCTAGCTCCGCGCTGTAGAAAGAGAATCTACTTGACTAAGTCGCCATGGCTGAGATTTCAACACAACTTTGAAGATCAGACTTTGTGAAAGGAGGGAGGGGAGTTCCGTTTTGAACATGAAGGACAGCGGGCTAGACAGAAAGTGGGCACGCAAGTGAGTTTGCTTTCACAAAGACATTTAACGGTTGTACTGTTTATAGTAAAATAGAACTTCCTACCTTGCTTCAGGTAAAAATGAAGCCCTTGCTTTCTCTCCCATTCTCCTCCCGTGATGGATTGTGGCCATTGAAATAATCCGTCGGAGGACCCACCTTTAGTGAGCTGTACCGTTGATGTAGTACACGGTGTGTCTCAGTGGCGTCTGCCGTGGTGAGGTGAGCGTGATCTCTTCAGTATAGTAGTTAACATTTTCTAGTATTTTCTACAGAGAGAATGTGAAAAGTAGCTTTTCAGACACCATCCCATGTGGGTCGGGGGGAGGAAAGGTGTCGAGGACATGCTAGTGACACTCCATTCAGGATGTATCAAAATAATTTGCTTTTCAGGTATTAATATGACATTTGTCATTGTCACTGAGGGGTTTTTTTTTGTTTAAATGCAAATGTTGGTTGTGGCTGTTTCCCGCATGCTATCTTCATATCTAAATGCTTCATTACTTATCCAAGCCTCCAGAGAATTAACTATTATGTTTGTATAGTAAGTTTGTAAACTGCTTGGCAAATTGATTAAGAAATAACATGCAACACCATGCTACTAAAGTGGCAGATTTCTGGTAGAAATTGGGCGAATCCATTTTGGAATTTGGAGTGCTTTTATTGAGGAAAATAATAAGGCACTTGGGCAAAAAGAAAAGATAGGAGGGGAAGTAGTTCACTTAACAAATGGCTGAAAATGTGTCTGTCCTCTAGGGCCCCATGTCCAGGAAAGAAATTCTCCCAGTTAAAGTGGCTTTCTGTCTCTTCTCAAAACCTTCCCAAACACTTCTTACACTTCCCACGTATGGAATATACTTCTCACAACCATCAGCAGTAAGAAGGTAGCCTAGAAAATAGCACATACCCAGAGGGGTCTAGATGAAAGAGTGATTGCACATCCAGCTGCTCAGAGCTTGAACCAAAAGAACCAATCCTCAGGGCCCTATTGTCTTCTAGTGAGATCTCCACCATCTCTCTGCCGCACCGCGACAGATAGGTTCTCCCTATCCACATGCAGCCAGGCCCCTTACTGGAGGGAGACCGGTTCCTTCCAGTGATGACAGATTGTGTAAGGAAACAGGATGTCCTCTACCCTCTGGGGAGGGGCATTGTGTAGGGAGTTGCAGCAGTGAGGTATAACTCACACGTAATATCCTAGAATCCCATGTCCCCAAATCCAAGGCATTTGACCCCTGAAGTAAGAAGTTAAAACATCCTCACCAGAGTCCTCCATCATAACCATTACCTCTTACCGGTCTAGAGCCTCTTGTGAGCGGTGTCTGTACTCGCCTCCTCTGTCATTATTTATTCTTTAGCAGATAGGTTTTAGAAGAATGATCTTTTTCCAGATTCTCCACTTCTGTAATGCCTTGACTATTTTTTTTTCCTACCTCTTCTAATATTGGTCTTCTTGTCTTCTGATGAAACCATGACTTTACAGTTCATTCATTTTCTGTTGCTGCTCATTTCGGTGGCAAGAGACCAATTTTGTCCCCAGGTCCCAAAAGTCTAAGTCCTTGGCGGTTTCCGGAATGCCCCGCTGATACATGCTGCTTCTGCTACTATGAAAGCGTTGCTAAGCAGCCTGGTGGCCGTGAGTGTGGCATGCTGGGGCTCTTCCTTCTGTCGCAGAAGTCTGGGCACTTTACCAAGTGTGAAGGTGAATGAGGGGAGGGGAACAAGAGCCATGCTTCCCGGCTTTTCACACATCCTAAGGAGAAGTCCTCATGCTGTTTGACAGCCTCTCCCACCTTCCTTTTTGTATCCTGTAGTCCTCCCCTTCTACTCCCAAGCAGTCAAACACGTGAGCAATATTGCATTTCTAACATGGTACCCGGAGGCAGCGTGTTCTCATCCTCTTTGACCACAGGATTCTCCTATCCTGTGAGGACTGTTGCCTTCTGTTTCAGCAGCTTTCTGCTCTTGAGTACCACAAGCCATGGTGGAGTTCAGAGGGGAATAGTAATAAGAAATACAGCACTGCCTACCTTGTCTCCATTGCAGGCTTTCCCAGAAAGTAAGGGTTCGGCCTCATAAACCATTGTGGTGCTCCAACCAGCTCCAACCAGTTGGTTGATTAAAACTGATCTTACTAACAAATTTTATTTGTGAACTGGCTCTTAATGATCCTTCCACCCTAGGCCCTCTTGCCATGGAAAGAAAACAATATACCTGATATTTAGGAAACGTTTATAAATAATTCAGATTCCCCATTTCTCTGAGCCCCACTCCCACCCCAAGGTGGTGGACAGGCCAACGGAAGCTGATTTCCTGAGCTCAATGAAGGCACATCTCTTTGGCCTCCTTTTTCATACTCATGTTCTTTATCAATTGATATCATCTGCCTTCTGTTTATTTTGCAAAGTGCAAATATGGATCCATCTTTTTCGTCTCATCCCTACCTTAAAGGAAGAACTAGAACATGCAATTTTAAGTTCCCAGGGTAAGTGCTCTGGGGTTGGGGTCTTTCACAGAGCAGATTCTGACACCCTGAGAAGGAAAGAGGATCCGACCTTGACAAAGGAATATGGAACATTGTACCAGCTTTCTTTAAGTCAAAGGAGCTGCTGAAATCAACCTGCAGAGCACCTTCAGGGCTTTGAAACAGGCCCCGAATGCCACAATCACATGCAGGACTTAACAGCCAGCCTCCGCTGCTAGTGTTGAAGGCAATTTCAGATGGCTGCCTTTACAGGTACATATCTTTCAACCAATCCAAGGGGAGTGGAACTGAAGGGATCTTGTCTCCAGTGATGTTTACTCTGGGTCTCTGCAGACCCTCAGAGCTCACTGGTGTAACCATGTGGAGGTGGTCCTTGAGGTTAAGCTCAAGAAAGAATTGGATTCTTTTTCCATTTGCTCATAGCAGCCCAGTCAACACAAGAGTCCCATAAAACATGACTCACTGTTGGGAACTAGTCTATTTTATAAGCTTACTTCCTGCTGACCAAACTCGCTTTTCTCAAGGGAATAAAAATGTGGAGGAGAAAGTCACGTCATGTTAGGAAAACATTTCTGTGAAGTTAGACATGATGCGTCCACAGGATAGGAAGCAGCGTCCTGGGAGTTTGCTGAGCTAGCCCTTGAACCTACTGGGCATTTGGCCATTGATGTTCAGTAGGTGGCTGACAAAGTTTGTCTCGGTATTTGAGAGAGTCACTGATTAAGCGCGTTCTCAAGCCTATCTGATTGATTTCCATGATTACATAGTAAGATTCTCACATGGACCTTGATTTCACCTTCTAAGTCCTTTTGAGTCCGCCATTTTCTCTGGCACCCGAGGACGGTATTCCCTCATTCTGTGCCACACAGGAGTGCTTTGCCCCTCTCCTGCTCTAGTGCTAAGGCTATAAAGGAAATCTCAACGGGCCTGGGAAAGGTGAGGTAGGCCAGAGTCCATGTTCTGTGTCGAGTGTCAAGTGATGTGAGGAAGGCCAGCCGTGGGCCTTTGGGTGTGCGCTCTGCCAGAGACTGTTCCCAACACTTTGCTTGAGATCTGTGCCCTGTAAAATGGATATGATGTTTTACTGATGTCTGTAATACATTTGTAAACTTCCAATAAAATTTGAATAAAAGAAAGGTTGCCATTCTCCTCAAATTATCCCTCATTGTCCAGCTCGTTCCAGGGTGACCAGGGCCTTTTGTGCATTTCCGGAGATGCATTTTATTCCTGATTGTTAGAATGAGGTTTTCAATTAACATGCTATCAAAATCCTTGGTACTATCAACACACTCTGCCAGTGAATTCTTGCTTTTAGAGACTATCTTGAATCATAGGATGTTTAGTACCATGGGTAGTCTTAATCTGTTCAATGTCAGTAGCACC